AAAGTTGCTGGGATTACAGGCATGAGCCATTCCACTTAACCAGAGTCTTTATTTTTTCATATTACTTTGATTTATTGTCTAGTGTCCTTTTATTTTACCTTGTAGGACTCCTTGGAGCATTTCTTGCAGGGCAGGTCTAGTGATAACAAACTCCCTCAGCTTTGGTTTATCTAAGAATCCTTTCATTTCTCCTTCACTTTTGAAAAACAATTTTGTTGGATATAAGATTCTTGTTTGAATATTATATTATATTTAATATAATGCAATATTATTGCATTGTAATATAATGTATTGGTTCACTGCTATCTGGTCTGTAAATTTTCTGATGAGAAATCTGCTGATTATCTCACTGAGAATCCTTGATATATGATGAGTTGCTTCTCTCTTGCTGCTTTCAAATGAAGGAGAGAATTCTCTGGCTTTTTCTTTCAAAAGTTTGATTGTAATTTGTCTGCTTGAGCTCACTTTATGTGGAGTTTGTTGACTTTCTTGGATGTTTACATTAACACTTTCCATCAACTCTGGGAAATTGCCATCCATTGTTCCTTTGAGTATTCTCTCTGCTCCTTTCTCTTTCTCTTCTCTTTCTGACACTCCTACAATGCGTGTGTTTGGCTCTTTTTCTAGTTAGAATATGAATAACTTTTGATTATGAGAGTCGAAGGTAAAGAGAGAATGCAGAGTTCTGTGTCAGGAAAGCCTTACCAGCAGGATCCCACTCCTTGCTAAAGTCATTGTCACCCTAGTCCTAGTCTCAGAACTGGGATTTCTGCTGCTGATTCTTTCTCCAACAAATACTCATGAATCTCTTTTCTGATTACCACATTCTTCATGAAATCTTTGTCTATTCAATTCCAAAGCCCAGAATTGAGGTCCTAGTTTAGTACCTTGAAATCGGACACTTTATGCAGTTGTGTGCTACTTATTTTTCTAGTGAAATGTGCTTATCCTTTGATTAGGATGGGACTATCTCCCTCCAAACCCTTCCCAAGCACCTGTTTGCAGATGCCCATGGGCTACCTGAGCTATCCACAGTCTGTCCCTGTCCCTGAATGTGCAGAGGGTATGCCGAGGGCTCAAGCCCCTGCCAGACTTCATTGGATACAGATGTCCTTGGATATTAGCTGGCTGATGAGATGATGCTGTGACCTGCAACAAGGAATGATGAGGAGGACGTAAAGTTCCCAGGTGGATTTATTCCCTTGTGGTGTTCTCAATGGGGGCAGAAAGTGCATCTTACCTCCCACATGACCTGAGGTGCTTTCTTTTGAAAGATGCAATTTTATGAAACTTTCTTGGTCTCAAATAGCTGAGGAATGAGGGTAGAAAAGGAACCCTTATATTATATGCACACATCTATTTTAAAACATCATAATATGGACAACTGGCTCTTTTCATCAAGGATTGATGGCACACGATCCTCTATGGGACAGCCTGCAGAGTAAACAGAGCAGGTTTGTAGACCACAGCTGGAGTCAAACCCCAGCATCACCCTGGTGACTCATGTTCCAGGAGGTCAGGGCCTCATCCCTCCTGAATGAAGGCTTTCCCAGCCCTTAATATTACTTGCTTAGGATGCAGAGCAGGGAGGTGGAGTAGGCAGCTGGCTTGACCTAGATTTGCAGTTGAACATATTTTTCATGGGCTGTGTGACCCAGGGAAGCTGGGCTCTGTTCTCACCTTACAGAAGAATACTTGCAGGAGTATTTAAAATGCTCCACGTAGAGTGGGGCTGGCACAGACTCATGTCTCTACGTAAAACTCAAATTCCCAGTTGCTCACCTGGAATAACCATGCTCTTTTCCTCTCCCATTCGAGGGCAGCACAGGGTGGAATGTGAGGGGTGGGATCAGCACAGACAGTTCAGGGCACACCAGTCCTGTCATATCTCTACCTGACTCCTCACAGGCAACACAAACTTGCCGTCTCCAGTGCTGACCATGGAATCGTTCCTTTGTCCTGAGGGATAGCACATAGCAAAGCACTATAGCGAGGTGGCTTCTAAGCAACGGGAATTTCTTTCTCACAGTTCTGGAGGGAGTCAGGGGCCAGTGGATTTAGGTCCTGGTGGAGGCACACTTCTGGGTTGCTGATGGTATCTTCTCACAAGGAGGCGCAGAAGCAACATAGTTCTCTGGGATCCCTTTTATAAGGCACTAATGCTATCATAAAGCTCCACCTTCATGACCACCTGATCACCTTCCTAAGGCCCCACCTCCCAATATCCTCACCTTGGTGGTGAAGATTTGTTTCTGTACCACCCACCATCTCAGCTCTGTGACAACTCTTGGGAACCCTTTCTGGACACCCCCACCCCAGCCTGGGCCAGGTATAGACCCCGGGGTACCTGGATGGTCCCCTATTCTTTTCATTGTGGGTGCTGTGCATTATTGATGTACATTCTTTTTTAAATTTTTTTCGTTTTTTTATTTTTATTTTTTAAAATTTATTTATTATAAAGATGTGGGGTATGATTCAGGGTTAGGTATACAAACATTGATGCAGGTACCCTTGTTGATGAGGTATGCCCCTCCCTCCCCTAGCAGTTTCCCTCAACTGCCAGTCCCACTCTCCTCCCCTGACAGCTTTTCACTACTGCCAATCACTTTCTTATAGTATTATAATTGTTCAAGGTCACCTTATGAGTGAGAACATACGGAATTCAGTTCTTTGTTTCTGCAATAAATCACTGAGTACAATAGACTCCAAATCTATCCAATTTGCTGCGAAGTCCATATATTTGTCCTTTATGGCTGCATAATATTCCATTGTGTACATATACCACATTTTTTTTTTATCCAGTCCAGCTTCGATGGGCAACACGGTTGGTTCCATGTTTTTGCTATTGTGAATAGAGCTGCAACAAACATACGTGTGCAGGTATATTGATGTACATTCTTTGTTATTGTTGTTTGTGCCAGGCCAGAGGCTGCCTGTGGACCATTGTCACCTGTCTCCCTCATCGTTGGGCTTGCCACTCACTGCCACAGCTACTCTTTTCTTTCTCTCTTGCTGGTTCCCCTCACTGCTCTGGCCCCAAACATTGTGGGGACCCAAGGCTGTGTCTTGGATGCCTGGCTTCAGTCACCTCCAGAGGCACAGCGTACATCTCTGGCCCACGCTACTCCCCAGACTCTGAACTCACCACCTCTCTAGCACCCAGCCTGGATGCTCTGCAGGGGTCTCTGTCTCTAAAGGTCTATAATGGAGTTCCTGGGTACCGCTCCCAACCTGTCCTTCCTACAGTTCCCCAGGACTCATGTTTTCTTGGCATCAGCTGGTTCTATTGGTACAACCTTGGGCTCTCCATACCCTCATTTCCTCCTGACATGGATGGCTGCTGGCTTATTTGGTTCCCTGGCCCTGGCCCCAGGCTGTTCTTAAACAGATCCAGGTGACCATCATGCCCATGCATGTGTGGGCCCCATCACCCGCCTCCTCTAGCTGCTCTGTGATGTCACCTTCGAGCCACAGGGCACTGGGGCTTCCTCCCCTTCTCTTCTCACCATTTGATATCTCGTACCTCACTCCTTCAGCCTCTGTGCAGATGGGGACTCACTGTAGAGACCTCACCTATCCCCCTTTAGAAAATAGTTCTCCTGTGAACTATGATCATGTTACTGTACTCCAGCCTAGGCAGCAGGGTGAGACATCTCTAAAAAAATTTTTTAGAACTTATTACCAAATTGACAGGTGCTAGTCTGCTGGGGCCACCGTCACAACATTCCAGAGTGGGTGAGGCTTACAACATCAGAAGTGTATCATCTCCTTTTCCTGGAGGCTGACAGTCCTAGGTCCAGTTGTAAGCAGGGCTGGTTCCTTCTGAAGCTGAGGGGGATTCTGCCTCAGGCCTGTCTCAACTGCTGGTGGCTGGAGAGGGTCCTTGGCATATGGATGGCTCTCTCCTTGTGTCTCTATCTTTGTATCCTAATTGTCCCTTTTTATGTGGACAGTAGTGATATTGGATCAGTTTCACCCTAATAACCTCATATTAACTAGTTAAATCTGTAACTGTCCCATTTCCAAATAAGGCCTCATTATTGCGGGCTTAGGACTCCAACCCATGAGTTTTTGGGTGACACCATTCAAGTCATAACATCATAACACAATTTTTGCTTGTTAATGTCTCTGTTGGTATCTTCTTCGACTGGAATATGAACTGAGGGCAGAGCCTGGACTTTCCATTTGCTGCTGTGTTTGCTGAGCAGTGTCTGGAAGACTGTCCTAAGCAGTCGCCACATAAGGAATGAGGGCATGTGTGGTCCACCAGATTGAATGTCTCTGCTGTACAACATGGTTTTTATATAACAACGTAACTTAATATTTCTCTGAAGTGGCACTAACAGGATTTCACAGACAACTAGTGATTTACAAAACTAAATCCTGGAATTCAGATGTTGTAATTGGAACTTCTAGTTCTACCTGGTCATTGCTGGTACCTCGTGATGGAACAGCTCCCCAAGGGGGTCCGTGGTCACAGCATCATTCGGGAATACCCTTGCCCCCTTAATAAGTTCTCTGCTGGTGGGCTAGCCACCTGGTTTCCTGTGTACCTTTCTATGTGTGATGTTTGTATAGCTGTTCGCTGGGGTGTCATCCCCTTTAGAAATGAACCCATTTAGAACTAAGTGTTTCCTCTAAGTTTTAGACACCCCATCCCGCAGTTTGATTCTTGTGCCTGCCTTGTCTCCATCTCCCCTGTCTCTTCCGTCTCCTTTCTCCCTGCCTTTTATTACATTTCTACTGAAGGCTAAGATGTGTGCTTGCTGCATGGAGGGCCCATTACGCTTCCTGACAATCCCATTTGCAGCATACTGTGTTCTTATTGCTGAAGATTCAGGTGGTTAATCATGCCTGAGGAGGTGGCTGAGCCCGGGCCCCTGGGAGCAGGGTGTGTGTGTCGGGGAGCAGGGCTGAGAGGCCTCTCAGGGGACTTCTGGCTTCTCCAGGGCTTATGAGTTCCGTGGGTAACACTGCTTCCCTCTGCTGTTGTCCCACAGCCCCCTGCACCCTGAGGAGGGAAGGCAGTTGATGGAGGACATCGCCCGCCTCCTGCAGGTGCCTGACAGCATCTTTGCCGATGTCGAGTAAGTACCTGGGCCACACCTGCCGGTCAGTCCTCAGCTCATGTTTTGCTCAGTCTCACAGGTTGTAAGGGAAGAGCTTGGAGGCTGTGTGTCTTGTGAATTACATCAGAGGGGAATTGTTTAGAAAACAAAAGACAAGAAGGTTCCAGTGGGCTTTGGTAAATTACGTAGGGATAGCTGAAACCTCCTCTAATGGGAAAAATGAAAATCTCCTGTGGACCAGCGTCCCTGTGGACCAGGGTTTCACCTGTGGCATCTGGAACCACTTGAGGCCTCTGAAACAGTCTAAGCCTGCCCTATTGCAAATTCCTGAGAGCCTCTGGGGTGACCCACACCAGAGAACACTACACCTGCACTTTTCCAGCACCTGCTATGCACTCGTCCCTATCACTAGCTGCCACGGGGGGCAGCCAACCTGGAATTTGAGTCACTCTGTAGAGCTGCTGCAGTAGGCTCAACCTTGGTCTCCTCAGGGTCTCGGGTTTAGAGTCATGGGCACGGGTTGCAGGGGCTGGCAGGTGAGCACACACAAGGGTCAGCCTCCTTCCTGTTTCTTGGCAAGGGTGTCGATGCCTGAGGAAGGGTACACAAATGACACTTGGAGATGTGTTGATAGGAGATGTGGGCAGAGACAGCTGAGTGCAGAGGTTAGTCATTGGGGGGACTATAGGGAACGCCTGGGAGTGCAGATAAGGTTTAAAAGGAGAGCAAGGACAGATTGGCATATGTGGAGTAAGCTGGGTTCGGTGGCTCAGCCTGTAATCCCGCCTTTGGGAGGCTGAGGTGAGTGGATTGCCTGAGCCCACGGATTCGAGACCCGCCTGGGCAGCAAGACCTCATCTCTACAATAAATCAAAAAAATCAGCTGGGCGTGGTAGTGTGTGCCTGTAATTCCGGCTACTTGGAAGGCTGAGGTGGAAGGATCGCCAGAACCCAGCAGGTCAAGGCTGCGGTGGCCGGGAGCGGCCACTGCACTCCAGTCTGGGCGACAGAGTGAGACTCCAACTCAAAAAAAACAAAAACAAAAACAAAAGCATATGTGGAGTGAAATTCCAAGGACTGGAAGAGGAGCCTGCCTGAGCTTTTTATTTGTGTGTCCGTGGGAACAGGTTTATGCCCTCCACGCAGCAGCAGACATCATTCATTCACTTGTTTGTTCACAGCAAATGCTCATGGAGCACCTGAGACAACATGGCCTTGAGCTTGGAGACATGTGGTCTGCACCTCCAACCTACCATTTTTAGGAAAAAGACAAATAAGTGTGTGGACAGTTAGTACGTAGGGGATGTGTATGAGGAAGCCCCACCCAGCCTGGGGCCAGAGACTTCTAGAAGTAGACATCTGAAGGGCATATAGAGGTGTCCCAGAGAGAGGACCATTCTGGACTGCTTGCTATGGCCCCCACCCGCCTTGGGGATGGGTACACCATCACCATTTTGAAGAAAATATTCATGGACAGGCAAAGACACCATCACCATTTTGAAGAAAACATTCATGGACAGAGGGAACCCCACTGCAAGGAGTTCTCCCACATGTCGGAGTACCCAGCAGTGAGAGGGAAGCATCTGGGGACCCGTAAACACAGTGATAGGACCCCAGAGGGTGGATATAGTAAGATGATCTGACCAGAGCTGAGAGAGAGCAGCCCTAATCCAATAGGGCAAGAACAGCCTAGGGACCCATGTGAGAGACGGGCAGGTGCAGGGGGATTCAGTGGACAGGAGCATGTGGAGATCTGGTTGAGACTGGCAGACAGGTAAAGGGTGACTGCAGTTGGCGGGGACCATGCAGAGATCCAGGTGAGAGATTGAGGCAGGTGCAGGGAGCTGCAGGGAGCCAGAGGTATGCAGAATCCAGGTGAGAGAGAGGGCAGGTGCATGGGACTTCAGTGGATGGGGGATTAAGTGACTTCTACCTGGAAGGCAGGATTTGAAAAATAGTGGATGGGTTGTTTCATAGGCAAGGGCAGAGCTGAGAACCTAAGTGTGTAGTGACCTGTACAGTGTGACCACTGTCCATCAGAGCAGATGCAGATAGGGGCACAGGCAAAAGTCCTGGAGCCCTCTAAGACATCAGACATTCCCTTCCTGGCTTACCATGGAGGGCCTGCTGTCCTGGGGTGGTCAGGGAGGTCTGGGCAGCTGGGACTGTGGAGGTGGAGGTGGGCAGAGGTGACAGCTGTCTCACACCCAGTAGGGAAGTGCTCCAGCATTTTAGCTTCTGCTGTGGCTGATGGTGCTAGATGTGTGTGGGGTGGTTTTCAGCACACCAGAGACTTTGGGAAGTGGGAGGGTTAGGAGGGTTTGTTTGGCAGGCATATTTGTCGGTGGTACCCTGAGGAAGTCCAGGGTCTCAGAGACAGCTCTGGGTAGATGTTGATGCCATATTTTTTAATGTGTAGTGGACAGCTAGGTCCCAATTTCTCATGGGATCAGAAGATGGAGACTAAAGGAAGAAAAGAGGGACAGCAGCAGTGTGGGGCTCACGTGTGTCTGAGAACCAGAGATAATCTTGTTGGCGTCACTTTGTTTTCACGTTAGGAACCTCCCTCAGTCAATGTCTTGGGTTCCTCGGAAAGCAATATTAACTATCAGAACCATGGGAACAGATGTCACAGGAGGTGAAAATAAAAGATGCTTCCAAGACCCAGAGTGCTAAGATGCTTTTCGGACCTAAAAATGTTTTTCCCCGTGCTCATGAAGAATGGAGACACAAAATCAGAGAACTTAGGCTTATATGATCTGGGGGAAGACGGTTTCCCCTCTGGCCTTAGATTTGTATTCTGTAAAGTGACTTTTTACTAGCTTCACACCAGGAAATGCAGCAGTCTATGGATAGTGTTTTTAAATTTTTTTTGCATTTGTATTTTGTAATTTTATTTAGAGACAGTCTCACTCCGTCACCCAGGTTGGAGTGCAGCAATGCGATCATGTCTCACTGTAACCATCTTAAGAAGGGTCCATGCTTCTAGTCTTATTGAGTCATCATTTCGTGATCCACAGCTTTCTCATTTCTCCTCAAATCCCTGCTTTTCACAGCAGTGCCCTTGCTTCCCAGCCATGCTGACTCTGAGATGTCTTCTGTGGTCTTTCTGGGGAGTCTGTGAGCCTTAGAGCTCCTGACGTCTCATCGTCATCATCCTGACCTTTCTAAGGTCAGAGGATGAGTCAAACTACTCCAGAAGGGGCACTGTGAAGAGGCACAGAAGAGAGACCACAGAGAGTGACGCTTTGAAAGACGTTTCTCATTGCTCCATTGCCTTAAATCCATCTCAAAGAACCCTGAAGAATGCCTGCATGCTGCAGACCATAAACAGCCTATGAGAAAATGGGATTTTATGGACATACCACAGGGTGATGTGTGCACAGCCCACACTTGATTGATATCTGTGCTTAGAGTGGGGATCTCTATGCCAACTGGGTGCAGAGCAGGGCACAGAAGAAGGGGAACTCTAGCCCCTGCCCCTGAGAAGTCTGCAGGCTGGCCATGGAGACAAACAGAAAGGTGCTAGAGAAAGTTCTGGAATCACGGAACCGTCAACTGCCAGTGGCTTCAGACATCCCAAGTGCATCTCAGATCCAGGGTGCCAAGACTGGGAGAGGCAGGGACTCTTCCAGTGCCCAGAGAGCAAAAGCTAGGCTTGTCTTGGGCATCTCTGATTCCTGGCCATCGGGGCCATTAGTCCAGAAAATGTAGTTTTTCCAATGGTCTTTGAGTCTTTCCACTGTGTGGGGTTTGCCAAGTACTTTTCCGACTGCTGTAATTTTATTTTTAAAGTGATTATCTTTTTTTTTTATAAATATTTTATTTTAAAGATGTGGGGTACAGTTCAGGATTTGGTATACATATGAACATTGTACAGGTAAATTTTGGGCCTCCCTTTGGTTCCCACTTTGCCTGGTTTGAGATCAGGTACCCTTACTGATGTTGTGTCCCCACCCCCACCCTGGCAGTATCCCACTACTGCCAATCGCTTTCTTAGAGTATTATGGTAAATGTTCAGGGTCCGCTTATGAGTGAGAACATGTGGTACTCTGTTCTTTGTTTCTGTGATAGGTCACTGAGTATGATAAATCCCTCCAAGTTGCTGCAAAGTCCATATGTCTGTCCTTTTCTTTTGAATTGGAAGGAGTCAGAGGTTGGGGGAGCAGGGCAGCCCTGATCTTGATGTGGATGATCCTTGGGGAGTCTCCTTACTCATGCCACGGGACTCCTCAGAGCTGAGGGAAGTTCATATTGTTTTCTCCCCTAAGGAGTGTTTTGTTTGTTTGTTTGTTTTTTATTTTATCAGCTCCACCCGGGGATATTTAACAGTTTACAGATAAGACATCTTATTCAAGAAATGCCTCCTGAGTCCCTACTATGTACTAGGTTCTCTTTCTCATGTTAGATTGGAGCAGAGACCAGGTGGTGAGGGTCTGATCTTAGGGAGCAGAAATAAACAGGTAAACAAAGGGCTAGAGAAGAGCTAACTGGCAGGGCATAGGAAGGGAGGGAGCTGCTGTACAGGTCAGGAGAGAAGAGGCACCCACAGAGTAGCCTAGGAGGCTCCCTGAGAAACATCCTGGCATGTGCTGGGCACCCCGTGGAGGAGAATCCTCAGGGGAGTGTGTTTTCTGGTCGACTTGTCCAATGGTCCCCCCAGCTGCTGGAGAGTGATTTCCAGGGTCATGTGTGGAGGCCCCAGTGACTCTAGGGCCACTGTGGTAGTTGAGGGGTGGGGACCCCGAACCAGATGGTGAATAGAGACAGCCTTGGAGAGGGAGTAGCCAGGATCTTGCTGCAGATGTGAAATTGGGAGTCAGCACCATCAGGCAGGAAGCCACATTGTGTGTCTCACCAAACTGCACAGGAGCCTGGTGCCACTTTTTTCCTACCTGCCCATCTAGTGACCTGAATAGTTCTTTGCCAAATTGTATTCCTTTCCAGGAAGGATTCCATCCCAGGCTCCCTTCCCTACAGCCCCCAGGAAGGGGTGAGGCTTAGGACTCAGGACCCCG